TATCATCTAAATACTTTTTAACCACTTTTTTCACATGCAAATAAAAACTTAATAAAAAGATTACTTAATGCCATTAAAAAAAACTAAATAAATTTATTGTTTATACAAACAGAGATATAAAACAAACCTTTACAAGAAATGCACTCATACAAAGGAGGTGGTTTAAGCCAAGTGCCATCTGGTCTCAACATGTGCCTGCGATCAGATGCAAAACTACTTATAAACTGATCAGCTGGTATGACACGAAAAAATCTATGGTGTTCTGGATTCAATGCCAAATCTGATCGAAACGTTTCCGTCACATATTTATGAAAATGAGTGGGAAATGGTAACTGGGAATCTAAATCAAATACGAGACACTGTGCTGGAGTAGAGTGTATAAAAAACACATGATAGTCCTGTAAACAAAAACTTAAATCAAAAACAAAAAATATTTATAAATAAAAAATTAAATAAACATTTTTTGAGAAAAAAGGAGACTTAATTTTAGTTTTTAGTTATATTAGTTAATTGAGACTTTGATTTATATCAAACAGAGAATCCAAGAAGTAATAGTACAACCATCTTCATAAAAATGATCTTGATTAGAAGATGAACAAACAAAAATAATATAATAAAAATTACAAATGAATAGGTTATAATATATAATGATAAAAATTATAAATAAATTATATAAAAAACTGATTATTTTAATGTTTCTTATATAAGTATATAAAATATCTTAAATTTGATGCTGATATAATATACATTAGTTAGGTTTTAAGATCGAGCGTTATATGAATAAAAAATTGTATGTGTAGGGATTTAAAACAAATTTTTAAAAAAGCATTTATACATTTTTTTTATTTTTGTAATGCGCAAATGTAAACCTAACTAATATATACATACATCAAAATAAAATTGATATACACTTGTATTTTTTAATCGGTACATTTCGACACTGTATTACATGTGTCGACACTATATTCAGCAAATTCATACCAGAAAGTATACAAAAGTAATATAAACTGTTTGTAATTAAAGAATCAAATCAAAGCCACAAAATAAAATGAATATATGAACAAAATAAAAAATAAAAGTATGTAGTTTGTTGCATCATTTATCATATTTCAAAATCTAAAATCAGTTTTTATTTTTTAACTCTATATACAACAACCCTGTATATGTAACTACAGTGGATAGTTAACAATAGATGAGAAATTTCAGACAATTATGAAAACTATAAACCATATCGAAATACATGTCAATATAAATATTGTCTGAAGAACCATTTGTTTGTCAGGGGTACAAGATTAATTACAACTATCCTACATATTCCACTTTGAATAAAAATGTCGTATGATAATATTATTACAGTTGGTGGCCTGATGTGCTGGGATTTAATTAAAAATAATTCGCCAGGTTGAAACAAAAATATTTACCCACATAACAATATGGTCATCTCCATGACCTGCCTTTTGTCGCCATAACGGAACCGTTCGTCCTTCATTCGATACGAAAACTGCGTAGCACCTACTCAACTCTTCCACGTTTTCTTTGCCCACTTTATCACAAAGCATCCAAACATTTTCCTCACTGAAACCAATTATTTAAATAATAAGCAATCGGAATATTGTGTTGCATTTTAAATTGATTCGTTACCAATAGCATGAAACATAACTGCATTCTGATTTCTTAGGGAATAAATTTATTCTATCGTTAGTCATTTTACTCTATTTTACTCTATTTTTATACAACAGTTGTAACATATTTATCGTTTCAAATTGATTATTACATTATTGCATAAAATTGTTATAACTCATTTGGCGTTGTATATAGTTCAACCTATCTATATGAATTTGATATTTTATTGTAACAAAGCGAATAACATTTTTAAAAAAGCCCATATAAGTATTTAAATGTTGTCAATCTGACAGCCGTAGAGAAAATGTCACTTTAATAGTAAGGCCATAGATAGGCGAAATAGGCGAAATGTCACATATTACCACCATAGATAACAGAAGAGTATGTTTATGATTAATTTACTACCATACATACTCTTCTTTTATCTATGCTACCATACTACTTAAGGTGCATCCACACCTAACGAACGAACATAAATAAACGTACCAGAACGAACGGCAACAGCATAGAGTGGACGCCACAACGATCACGAACAAACATAAACAAACATGGCGAGCAATGTTCCGCAACTTGTCGGTACATCAAAGGGAATTGTTCGTTCATGTTTGAACTCGTATGTGCAGTGTGACGCTACCACGAATGTAGACAAATATTTTTTTTTTGATGTTAAAATGTGCAGTCCTGCATTAGTTTATGTTGTCTTTATTATAAGATATTGCTGTTATTGACAAATTTTGTAAATTTGATGACTTTAATTAATTTTGCTCTTTCCCGCCACTTTAAATAATAAATCTGACGTTTCACGGTACATCCTCGAACAAAAAGATTCAAGCCCTCACTGCTTTGGGGCGTTTGTTTGGAATTATTCGCGTTTGTTCGTGTTTCTGTTCGTTCTTCTTTGTATTTTCTTGTTCGACATGTTCGTTCGTTAGGTGTGGATGCACCTTTAGATAAAAGAAGAAGATGATTACCACAAACTTGAATGCCATAATAGACGTGGTGTGACATACCTTAACGTAGATGTCTTATTCGATCAAAACGAAAATAAGCGCAACAGGCGACAGGGGCTCTAACTAAAATCGCGATACAGACATTTGTTCGGAGATTACCGGCCATGGATAAACAAGCATGTGGATGTGGTGAATATGAAGTTCTTCAGTTATGTAGGAGAACCTGATATGAACGAACCAGTAGAACCAAGTTCTAAGCAATATGAGAATATAATATATCCAATACAGAATGGATTTTAACAATCGTTTATTTGAACCTAAATTTTGCATTACAATCAAGATTTCATTAGAATTGCAATAATATAACAAACATACCGAATAATAATATATTACCATTATGTAATAACACATTTACAATCAAATCGAAAAATATAAAAAAAAAACATAAATTCAATCAAAATCGTTTAAATTAATTCTTAAGTTGTAGTTCTTTAGTTGATGAAAAACGTAAAGATAAATAAAACATTTTTCTGATTGATTACTTTTGTACTTCTTGTGGGTGCTCGTACGATGATACACGTTCTTCCTTAGATGGATTATTATTTGCACAATTTTATATGTGTTATAATAAAATTTCCTAACAAAATAATACCTCTAAGACATAATTGCTACATTGACTTAAGTGGTATTTTATGCACAGATGCTTCAGCAAAATACTAGTTTATTTATTCAAAGTACAATACATTTCCGCAACACATTTTTATTCCAAAGCCCAAGGTAATTTACTAATTGGTCAAAATCGCAGTGTTAAATCACATAATGAACCATATCGACATAGTAATTGATGATTAAAAAGCTGTTGTTAATCTGAAAATCGATCATTACAAATGAACCGGCGTTTTATCAAGTAACAAGGTCATTCCGCTGCAATGACAAATATATTGTTATCTAACACAATAACGCTTTTCCAAATTTATAAATAACCAATTTTCAAATCAAAACCAAAATTACCACATAATTTTATTTAACTTTTAGTTTATTATTTATTTCATTGGATTGTTTTTTTATTAAACAATATCTTTAAAATTTATTTTTTGTTTTTTTCGTAGTTTGAATTTGTTAACGTACTGAATGTAGACACACATACAGTGCCGAAATGTATATAATAAATAGTTATTTATTGCTTTTTATTTCAACTATTTGGCTGCAAATAAACATTTCAACAATATGATTGAAAATCTGAATACAAACTGTCTTTACCTAGAGATTATGTTAAACCCGCAATTTTAATCGATAACATACTACCACTATAAAAATGTACCAACGCGCGTATAAAAGCTTTTTAATTGTAACACACTACAAAACGGAGTATATTTATCAAGTTAAAACGTCATATTCTGTCAATTATTCCATTACTTAACATAAATTGATGCTTCAATAGCATGATGAAAAAAACACAAAACTCTGGAAGCAATCTTGTCTGACACATTTCCAACAGATATCTTTGTTGTATTCAGATGTTCATAGAATTATACAAATTTAACATTGTTGATATTATACCGACAAAAGAATTATGACATGACCTTCGTTTTAGAAGGTGCAATCATTGCACCATTTTTGTAAAGATAAACAATGACATGTTTTATATGAATTTTATTTTGAGAAATAAATATAACATTTTGCTTTATTGAAAACATGTACATGTTTAAAAATCTAATTTAATCAGCTAAAATAACAATTTGAATGTAAATTAGAATTACGATATTCTAAAATCTCATGCCAATAGAAGTTTTATATAAAACTAAAAAGTTTAATGGAAATGAAAGTACTACATACATGTGAACTCATAAATTAATGAATTAGTTAACATAAATGAAAATGTGCTTGTGGAGGAAGCTCGATTCCGATACAAATGGTGGCTTATAATGTAAAATTATCAGTCCCCCCTAAAATAAAAAAAAATTGTTCACAATTTGTGTTAAAACACAAACTGCATCATAAATTAATGCAAGACAAAAAAAAATAAAATAAAAATTGTTAATAATCGGAATAATACTTGCTAAAACAAGAAAATGATAATAGTTGAGCAAAGTATCTTGAATTATGAAAATTGTTTTAAATGGTAAAATAATTGAATTAAATAAAATAAACCGAATAAAATACATACATGTATGTATGCACAAACAAAACATTGCACCCATGTACATGTATATATTTGTATCTGTAAAAGTGCATTTATATATAAAACCTGTATTTTAATAAAAATATTTGTCAACACCACGAGTGTTGAAAAATTAATAACAGAACACTGTTTCCATGGTGTACAGAAATACAAATGTAACTTAAAGAGAGATATACTTCTCATAATGCAACAACACAAGAAAAAAAGCAACAAGAGAGTGTGATACTTTATAAGTAGTTAAACCTGAATGGCAAACTTGCTAACTTGATAAAGTTAAACTCTGTAAACTCAGCCTAACTTCCTAATTTTGTTTTAAAGAATTTTTGTTTGTGCATAGAGAATCGTCTTTAATATGCCCTACAGATTCAAGTTAATATTTGTTGTTGTTTTTAATGAAAGTTAAATTAGACAAATAGTGACAGTTTGGGTGTTTATTACTTCTTTTTATTCTTGTTATTGGCTCCCCTCGGGGGAGTCACAGGCCGGCCTGCATTCAGGCCTCCATATTGGAATTTCCTTTTATCAGCAGGTTTCAATATCTGGAAGGAACACATAAGTGTCTCGTCTACAGACATCATAGCTCCTAAAATGATTTTCAGAGAATTAATTATGAAATAAATAGTATATAAAATAAATTGTATAAATAGTATATAAAATTAAATTCGTTATTTATGTGTCTATGACAAATAGAAAATATTATACTAACCCGCATTGTCAAATTCACCACAATAATTTGGTGCACTGAATAAGGTTACCAACTGCCTCTTAGCAAAAAATTCATAACCATCTTCAACAACTTGATGTGCCCTACATATCAGATCAAAATCATGCTTGTGTAAAAACTTCCCAACTACCTAAAAATATGAATTTCATGTAAATACAACAGTTAATCTAGCATGAAATATTCAGATAAATACATTACATACTACTAATACACACTGGCAACAATATAATGATATTGGGATATCAAGATTAAAAACCAGTGCACCTATGCAAATAATTGTGACAAAACTGATAAACATTTCAGTGTAATGCGATAAACTATTGAATAAAGATTTGGACATCATGTTATTAAGTTAGAGCCCTACAAATTGCATATAGTGTAACATTTGTATTGTTTATAATAAATTTGGCAATAGATGTTCTAGTTAATATTTAGTACATCATATGCATATAAATGTTCTGGAATATTTTTGAGGCCTGCACTATTGTTCTCAAGAATATCCTGCATCAAAATATGTACCTATCCAACATATTTAACAATGTAGTTTTTATTTTAATTATCTGTGATGAACTCACTTATCAAACTAAAAAGACCCACAAGTGCTATGAAATGTGAGTTTCAATTGTTATACTAATAAGAAATTATGACTATTGCAGAATGCAATACGAAAATAATCATAATTTAGAATGCAAGATTGAAAAAAAGCTACCTTGTAAAATAAACTGGCAAAATTTACCATATTGTGTTACTATTACTGTAGATTAAATTACATACCTCTGCTCCAAATGTAAAACTAACACCACGATCATTTTCACCCCAGCCCATGGTGTCCTTGTCGGGATCTGACCATAGTAGATCGCACAGCAAGCCTTGATCAGGTACATCTGTCGGCCTCATTATTCTTCTGATTTGTTCCATAGACTGTAAGTCAGGTGACAATCCCCCTAAAAATAATTTTATATCATATTGATATCTTAAAGCAAATTCCAATTAAACTTCTACCACTTAATAAACTATTATATATACACATTTTCTTTTTTTGCAAAAATTCTAAATTCTCAAAAAAAGTAAAAGTTATATATAATTTTGAAGTTACATTATATCCAAGTAATGATATTAAAAACAACGTAACATGTGAAATACAATCACAATTGCTTACCATGACAACAGAAGATTTTCTCATCCACAATTGCAGCAACAGGCAGGCAGTTAAAGCAGTCTGTGAAGGTTTTCCATAATTTTATGTTGTAGCGTCGTTTACATTCATCATAAAAACTGCAAGCAAACATTCATGTCAATGTAAATACTAGATTTTATTTAAAAGCATGTAAACATACCCATAAATCCTATTGATGCTTGCACATTCGTGGTTACCTCTGAGCAAGAAAAAGTTTTCTGGATACTTAATTTTATATGCTAACAATAAGCAAATTGTTTCTAAAGACTGTTTACCACGATCAACATAATCACCCAGAAATAAATAATTTGATTCTGGTGGAAATCCCCCATACTCGAAAAGTCTCAACAAGTCGTAATATTGACCGTGAATATCACCTGAAATCAATTGCACAAATTGAATTTCCACAGTTATATATCATTATAAATCTTTGGAGCAACAAATAAGAAATAATCAAGTGTAAGCCAACATGTCAAATAATGAAATACATAAGTGATAAGCATTTGACAGATTTTTTTTCATTTTGACACCAATACAAATGTAATTACCGCATATTTTTAATGGTGCTTCCAGTTCCAGTAAGATTGGTTGTGATAAAAATATTTCCCGAGATTTTAGACAGAGCCCTCGAATTTCACCTTCTGACAATTGAACATTTTTACCTGGCCGAGCACCTCGAACTGAAATTAAACATACAACATCATTATTACCAAAACTGCATTGATTGACACATTAATATTAAAACAAAACTCTCGAAAAGTATTTTTTATCGGGCGTTGGCAAAAGGCGGCCATTGACAGTTTACTTAAACGAGAGCCAGATATAAACACATTTCTACCTTCTAAGAGACGTGAGATTATGCTATCAATGTTTAATTTATCGGTCTCAGCCATTGGACCGAACTTTTATAATAACAACACAGTAATTTTTTATGTCTAAAACGTCTTGGAACAATTGATCAAGTTTGATTGAACTCAGCTTTTAGGAATATTGTCACCACAAAACAGTAATAATGGCCGACTTTCGTAAGACTCTGGAGCGACGTTGTTCAGACTGCAAAGTGAAACCTACAATTTTAACGCGGCTGAGGTTATCTGATTTGCCAACATAGTAACAACGAATTTGAGCACGATTTTCAAAACTAAAATAATAAACATCGACGAAATAATGTTAAGAATTATAAGCACATACAATTTTGAATAAAAACTACAAATTTTGAGGATAATAAAGAAATCAAACTGGTAAAAATATTTCTAAAAAAAAAACAAGAAACTTTCTATTTAACCATAGATAAAAGAAGGGTATATTTAACTATCCTGTCAATGCAAACTTCATCATACACCAAGTCAGTGATTTCCAACCTGTGGAGCTGTCGCAAAAGCGGGATGCAGCGGTTTCCAAAATATTATCTTCGAACACAAACCGAAAAAGTCAAATTGGTGATAAAAAAATGAATAAATGAATAGTTTTTTTTGTAAATATATTTTAACAAAATATTGTACATTATTTTGTAGACCGTTAAATAAATTATAATATCAGTTAAGTGTTTATTGCATAATAAAATTAATTATAATATAATTTAATTATTTGAATTTTCTGTATATATTATGTATGAAATGTTATTTATATCACAATTATTTTTATCTATGGAAAATTAAATTATCAATACATACAAACATTTGCCTGAAGTATAAAATTCCGATGTCTATCAAAATAAGTAAATATTATTTGTTATATGTGTGATAGAGAAGAAAGTGCCTAATGCTGCTTTTAAATATTTTTTGCACATTTTAAAACCTTAATAGCAAATATTTGTTATGGCATTCTGTATACAAATAATAATTAATTTGTACTCCTTCCATTTTTTCATATGCAATTAAATTCCTTAATATTAATATTTAATAACAAATAAATAAAAGATTAATAGTAAATTAATAGGAAATAAAAGACGAGCATAGTATACAAAATTTTTACTTCTTAGGTATAAAAGATAATTAGGTATATAATTAGGTTTAAAAAATATATAAAATTTATAAAAAAATACTGATAAATGCATTGAAAAACGAAATATGTTAAGTGAATAACATAGAAAATTTGTGGTTTTAATTTACTTTATAAAAACAATGACTTTAATCTCAAAAACTGATCTTTTTACATTAACAAAACAATCCTTTCCCATGCTATATTGCATCTACATAAGATTTTGTGATCATTTGTAGGGCTGTAATAATCAGCAATGAAAATATGCATTTCATTTCATTAATATTGAAATAAACTGATGCTCTTTATTATCTCTCTCTTCCTTGTTAAATAATGGCACTTATTCTTAATTATTCAAACTGGCAAAGCACTGTGGACTACACAAAGGAATACTGTTCTTTACCATGAATCTTCCTCCTAGCAGAGATTTGTTACAATTTCTTCCAGCACAATTGAAGCAGTATGTATGCCAGTGAAGCGATGACCATGCAACCCCTTGCTCATTTGCAGCAATTGGTTTTTGACAAGACTGACATTTTTCAGCCTGATAATTCTCATAACAAGGTAAACAAACTGGTTGACCGGATTTGTCATCACTCACATAATTCTGGTCAGCCAATGGAGTATCACAATGAAAGCAACAGAAGTGTCTGACATGAAAACTTGCATTTTCCGCAACTGTATACTCTTTTGTAAATATCAATTCATCACAAGCCTTGCAACGAGGTATTTTTAAAATGGCAGCAAAATCTCTAGCACAATATATATTACCTTTATGCAAAAAATAAACTAAATCAGCCAACAGTTCATTACATGAAAAGCAAACAAAACATTTTGGATGCCAAGCAACTTGTTTTCCATTTTTTTCTGTTTGCACTACTATTTCGTTAGAATGAATTTGTAATGTGCAACGCTGACATAATATTGAAGGTGTATCTTCTCGCGAGGAAATATGCAGTTCCTCAAATTCATTTAAATCTATTAATTTTTCAATACATTTATTATCCACGATTTGCAAGGGTTTACTTAAATTTAATGAAGAAGGTTTAATGGATTGTGATATATTAGCTGCTAAACCATTCTCAATCTTGGATAAGAATGGGTGATTTGAATAGTTAATTTTAGGTGGATGATCATTATTTTCAGAAAATATTGGTATTGTATCATCATTGTGATTATCCGTTTGTTTCTCTATATATTCAGGATTTGTTGTTACATTTGTAGATGAAGTCAAAATATCTCTACTTGAAATGATAGCAAAATTATCTGTGTCGGTTTTAAATGCATCGTTTTGTAAGTACTCTGCTCTGAATGCTTTTATGGGATGTAATAGTAAATCATTTGAGTAGTCTAATTTATTACTATCTAAATCTTCAAATAACTTGTCATAATACCAGCCATGTAAAACAGCACTCCGAATTGATTCTGAATTGATTTTCATTGGTATAAGCTTATCTTTTGTGACCTCACAAAGAAATGGGCTGTTGATAAAATCGGGACTGTTTAAACATGTTTCTTGTTTATAACTTTTTGAAGTATTTTTATTTATAAGATCATCTTTGTGAACATCATATCGCACGCCTTTGACTAACTCTGAACACAAAACTTGTTGAAGAATTTTGTCATTTTTAATACTTTCGATAAAAGGCATATTTTGTATATTTTCTTTTTCCAAACTATTTTGTGGTATTTGTTTAATTTCATGGTTTACAATATGGATTTTAGATGCTTTTTGTAAACCTAGGCGTGTAACATAACCTTGGCCAGAATTAGACATTACTTTCGCAACATGTTCTTCAAATAATATCTTCTCAGTATTTGTAAGATTGTGACAAAGATTGGGATCTAAATCATGTGGAGGCACTTGATACTCAAGTTGTTGTTTTCTGTGAAGAGCAGCAGCAGAACCTGTGATTGGAATGTTATCTTTGCCCAATTGATTCATATAATCAATAGCCTGTAATAGAATTTATATTTATATGATTTAAACCTTATTTTAACAATCTTGTTGATACATATTCGATTTATGCTGTTACCATTTCTGAAGATATATTTGGAGGCACCCAGTCTAAGTGTACAGCCTGGTTTTCCAATGCCTTTATCTTGAGATCTATTTGAAATTCATAAATGAAATATATTACTTGCAATTCATTTTCAACCTCAATATTGATAAATTAAAATTCTGTAGTGAGCTATTTATTATAAATAATTTGATCTACATAATTTTATATTATAGAACAAAAAGTGTTGAAATATTTCAATAGGCCAAACTTAATGCCAGCAGATCATATAAAATCATAATAATTAAAAGAAATCTAGTCAGTGTATAATTATATATATATATATATATATATATATATATATATATAATAAATAAATATGTATTACTCACAGGCAGGTTTTGAACGTATAGCACCAAGAATTTCGAATTGAGCCCATCCAGACAAATCTTCATCTGGCACATCATGTTGATCCTTTCGGCATTTACAATTCCTACATAATTTTCTCCAAAAGTGTAAATCCAACCCAGGACAATCTTTCCCTAGAAAATTGAATATTAAATGACAAACTGAAAAATACAAATTCAAGTACATACTATAAGTATGAACTTAATAACCATGACAGTACCCATGATAGTCCTGAAACAATTCCATGTAACAACTCTACACCATCCGGACGCATGCATACAAATAAAATATTGAGCTATCATAAGCACAAATATTGTTATAATAAATTTTGCACATTTGATATTAATTAAGTTACATTTGAATTAGGTGACCAGTATGAAAAATTAATTATCTGTGTATAATAATGTTATTCATGTAAAATGTTTTTAATTATTGATTATAAATACTACAATTTAACAAGTGATTAATTTTCCACATACCACATACATTACAAGAAGCACCAGCTCCTGTTTCATGACCTATTTTGGCTTTGCTCAATATTTCACGTCTAGTTTCCAATTTAGAAAGCCATGCTGGGGCAGATGGAATTTCGATAGAAGATTCTGCCATTTTGCTAGAGATTTAAATGAAAATTTTAAATTCTACAACACATTATTATAACATTTATCAACATATGAAACAATAAGGCATATGAATATTAAATTATTTATTATTTAAATAAACAGTAACATTTTACATGAATAATCTAATGCTACTCATTACCATTTTTTCATATTTTGGCTCGTATTAGGAATGTTATATTAAACGTCTAGGAAAAACATCATATATGAAGTATGTATTTATGTGAAGGTATAAAAGTAAAATTGTAATTGAATGATAGATTTCCTTAATTTGTAAATATAACTAATAGATTTCAATGCTGATGTTAAATTCCTGATAAAATATTTCATGACTATTGTAATACTGCCTTTTTCAATATGAATATCCTTAAGAATTTATACTGTTTATTATAAGTTTATAATATAAATATATATACATAAACATTACAGAAGGCAACACAAACAATTTCACATTGAACACAATAGAAAAAACAAAATGGAACAAAAATTTATAGACAACCTCCGAGCAATATAAAGATGATTAGTAATGGTAATAATTTCAAAAGAAATATTATAAAGAAATTGAAGATAAAAGATATTAATAGATAGCTGACTAAATGCAGGGATAAATAAAACTTATAATATAGAATGAAATGGATATATATGTATATGTAAGTGTAATTTTTTTTCGTTATCTCCTATACCAGGCATCCCTGCCTGACTGGGATGTGAAAATATTATGTCAATTGCTAAGTATTATATAAAATATAGTGAATAACATTGTACATAATTACACAAACATGTATTTACACAAAAAACAAATAATGATTAAAACTTGAAATACCTCATTGTTGCTCTTATGAAATGCAAATATTAAGTACAAGATATTAGATCTCAAAGACATATTTCACCTTAATAGTGAGTACAACAGAAAAAATATATACATAAATATCCTCAGAATTTTTTGCAAAAGTGAACCATAACAAAATTGATACTAATGTTTTTACATTACTTATTACACTTTACTTTACATACCTGTTTATAAAACTATAAAACTATCAGCACAATTACTAATGAGTGAAACAAAAGCTAAAAGTATGATTAAATATATAAAACCATAATTTTAATAATCTCTTTCATCAACGCATGACTCATCCCATGTTGTTCTTATCAAAAGCGATTTGACGTTTGACGTTCGTTACTTTTTTTTGACAACTAGCCTCGCACTGATTGTGAGTTGACACAAAATTCATAGTACATAATTTATAATTTAAACGCAGTTTAAAAATTAGAAGTGAATTGAATACACGTATAGCCTTGCTTTTTTATTTATTATCAATTAAGAATGATTTAATTTATTATTTTTGTCACACAAACAAACGTGAAGTTATAGAATAAATTGACAGCTTGAAAGTACGACAATGTCGTGTAGTTTTCTATAAACCAATTGAAAGTTTATTGTGACTGTTTTCTTTCTGTTTCGCAAAGGAAAAATGTCAAGTCATAAGTATTTGTCAGATACAAATAATTTATTTGAGGATGTCGACGATGAGGCGTTTCTTAAAAATTCGCGTGTCCCCTCTGCGAGCAATGGCTACCACAGGGTAAATGGATCATATCAGCAATACAACTCCAATTTGAATTATAATTCAGAATGTGGTGTACAAAACGATAGACAAAAGCTCATTGATCAAAAGAAAGCTATTGAAGAAAGAACTATTGCGAGCTCTAGTCGTAGTATAGCTTTGTTAAGGGACTCTGAACAAATTGGAATTGCTACTGCAGAAGAGTTAATAAGGCAAAGAGAACAACTCGAAAACTCTAGCAAACGTCTAGATGAAATTAATACTACATTGAGATTTAGTCAAAAGCATATAAATGGTATTAAATCAGTTTTTGGAAGTTTAAAAAACTATCTGTCCGGACAGAAGGATGAAAGAGGGGCTACTGCAAATGCTAGCATGAAGAGTAGTTTATCTGACATAACTTCTGAAACTAAAAAATTAAATTTGGATGTACACTCTTCACCAAACTTGCACAATACTCAAAGCATACCTGCTGGTAATTCTTTCCTTTTTCAATTATCATGTAATAGTTTTATTTTGCTTTGAGACAAAAATTTTTATAGATTGTAAGTTTACAAATGGTCACCTTTATTTATTCAAAATATGTATAAAAATATTAACTGATTAGATTGCAAAATTTATTTTGTCAAACCTGTGCTCATGTAAATAATGGATTTTACAAGCCAGCAGTACAATATTTTGTTAGTAAATATAGCACGAATGTAATTATAAAATTGAAATGAAACCATAATAAAATAAATACATAACTATCATCTTAAACCTTGATCAAATCAAAGAATTGTTCAATCCTTGTAATACAGGTCATCACATTATATAACTTGAAACATCTATGCTTTTTTTTAGAAACAAGGATTCAGCAAAGTGGCAGCAAACATATGAATGCTATCTTAGAAGCAAACTTAGAAGAAATGTCTGGCAACATTAATCGTTTGAAAGGTTTAGCAAGAGGGCTTGGCGATGAAATAGATTACCAAAATGATCTTCTGGACCAAATTTCTTCTAAAACAGAACATGCCGATCTTGCATTGGGAAAACAAAATAAGGATATTACTAAGTTATTGAAGTAAATGATTTTATAAATTGTTTCAATTTGGCTGGTTTATGCTGTGAAATCATTATTGTAAAATAAATAAAACATAATTATAAGCTACATATTATAAATGAACACTTTATAAGGTCTGTAAATTTAATTTTATATATTAAGTAAATAAATGTTAGATACTACATATCATAGTTTTATATATAAACTCAATTTCATAAATGTAATAAATGGAAAATGATTTGTTCAATCACTGTTAATAATTTAATTAATTATAAAAATACAATGCTTGTATAAAGATATGATGTGGAGTCAGATCGTCTCTGGGATCATTTGTGACTACTACTACAGTGCCACAGAAAAATTATGAACTTTCGAGAGCAGCGTAGAAGTTTGCTGAAATTTCATTATCATTTACCAATAATTATTCAGAGAAAACATTTATATTTTATGAGTAATTAATGGTTTACCCAAAAGTAAAACATCACTATGAAAATACTAATAAAGCAAAGATGTTATCAAATAAACTGCAGGCATAATTTCAGTGTCTTTATTTTAAAAGACAATAATCTTATTTAACACTCACAGTTCGGGACTGATTCAAAAACCAATCTACCAGTAAACCTGTGTGCTGCTTTTTATGGAAACGTACCTGCTGTGAACTTGATATTGTGTATGCAGTGCAATGAAGAGCATACATTTACTAAAATAATATCTAAATTTATTTTTTGCAGTTGTGTTTAAAGCAATTTCAAAATATGTGGAATAGTAGATTGATTTCAATGTTGTAATTAATTATCGTTGACAATTTTGTTATTTCAAAGAAATGAATTACAAATCAGAAAACCGTATTTAGAAAGAGATTACATAATAAAAAAAAAAGGTAAAAAATACTTTGTAAATATCTAATAGTAAATTTTGATAATACAAACATACAATATTTGAAATAAGTAATTATATCAAATTAATGCAACAAGAAAAAAATAAATTATAATTAATTTATTGATGGGAATGTGATGAAATGAATAAAATTTTACTTTGGAAAAGCTCGGCAGGCTGCAGAAAAATATTCAAAAAACTGCATTGAGCCCAAAGCCCGCTGGTTGCTCATCCTTGATCTATTCTATTCGACGCTTCAATATGAACTGAGTCATTGTGCACACAACTGTCTAGTGCCGAGTGATATGCTAGACTTACCTTGTCCCCTCATAGGGACAGCCAAGTGAAAAAACCCAAGACTAAATAGATTATAAATCAATCTTCATTCTAGTAACATTTTGAGAAGGTTGATGCCACTCAGTAAAGAATAAAACAAAAAATGAAATTCATTTTTGGCTTTGGCTTTTTTACTTTAAACATATAAAAGACAAAAATTAAACAATAGAAATTAAATCTTAAAATTAATTTGATTACTAAAGTTATATGCAGTAAATATTAAAAAGAAATTGGTGGCAATGTAAGTAAAATCAACTTCGATCTCTTCATAGAAAAAAGTTATCAATTAACTTCACCAATCTGAAAAAAAAAAGAGTGTTGAGAAATGGTACATTGAGTGTTGTATTGAGCTATTTACTACAAATCCTTATCTGCCTTATCAGTGTAACAGTTTCTTGTTTTTATAAAAAAGATATATAAATAATTATACCATTAATATATATACATAATATATAAATATATTGACCTTGACAAAAAATAAACGCGATGAAGCTAATTAAATAGATAAACATGTAATAAAACATGTTGTTGAGTAAAAGACCACAAAATTAAAGAATGATTAAAAATGGATTTTCCAACAGTTTGATGTCTTTTCTCAAAAATTCTTAAATCACTTAGTAAAACATCATTTTATTTATATAAATTAAGTGAGAAACTTCAAATATCTTACAAAACATATTTTTCTTGCAATAACCTCAACTAAAAAAATACTACTTTGGATTGATCTAGTTTATAGTCACATTCTTGTACAGAGGCTATTTTTTTACCGTTAATATCTTCCAGATCGTCCACTCCTTGGATCACCACCTTGAGAATCTTTACGTGAATTACGGTCTCGGTCGCGGGACCTGGAGTCGCGCCTATCACGCGATCGAGAACGACGTCTACTTCCACGATCTCGTGAACGGGAGCGTGATCTACGAGATGAGCTCTTGCGCCGTGAATACAAGTAGCTAAAAGTCGATTCAAATATGAGTAAAATTTTACCATATTCATTAGAACTATAACAGTCAATTTGCAAATAGTTAAAATAAAACGTAAATGTTACCGTCTCAATTCCCTTGAAATTGGTTTTAAGTGCATGAAGTTGCAGAAACCAGATCGAGTACATTCGCCCATCTCATATTGACGGCAACAAGCTTCTCGGAAATCAGTTACAGGTGACAATTCAGAGTAAACAGGTCTTCCACCAAACCATCGGTTGTTTAAATCAGCAGCGGCTCGTTCAGCATCTTCTTCTCTTTTAAACTACAAAATATATGATGCAATTTGTACTACAGATAAAAATAAATGCTTGCATGATGAGCAATTTACTTCAAAATGGTCTAAAACAAGTACAGTAGAAGTTCCTTATTCGCGCTTCCTATATACGCGTTTTCGCTATTTGTTTATCACAAAAAACTTGTGACCCAATTTCTATATTCGCCGCTAAAAATTTATATGTATCGAACCCAAAATTCTTTGCCTTCATTTTGAACTAATAAAGAAATCTTTGACATAAGCTGCCTTCGCCGCTATCGGTGTTTTTGAGAATGTAAACTAATGGAATGAAAATAACCTTATTTATTACACAATGAATAAAATTTAAAATATACAATAGTAAAATTGGACTCAAATCGACATGAAATCTACATTCCCAGCCCATTGAAGAAGAGCAATTCACTTCAATTGCTTCTAAAAGCATAGACATTTAATTTGCAAAATCTTAGTGAAGAATTAAAAATGAACTGTGCGATTTCTATATGGGCATTGATCTATATATGTAAAGTGTTATTTTAAGAAGCAAATTACTGATGTGACTGAGTATCAGTTTGAATTAAGGGGTTAGGGGTACTTGGAATTTTTGAAAAATCGATTTTTATTTTTTTGCATTTTCATTAAGTGTAATATCTTGAAAATGTTCTCTGAAAATTTCAAGTTGATCCGATGATTACTTTTTGAGTTATTGAACTCTTACCAGCGCGCTGACGCAAGTGGAGAGCTCGATACTTATACTCAAGATTATTCTCCCTCACCTCCTGATGTTTTAAAAGCTTTTAAACCGATTTACGACGATCTCAGCAATAATAATTTACTTTCAAGATGTGTAGTTCAAGATTGAATCCATAATCAGAAAAAATTAAGAGCTTCAACCAACTAGTGTAAAAAATATGCCTAGAAACCGTGAATACTAGTTCTACTATCGTACAAATTGCTGATTGCATATACATAATCATTATGATTGATTATGGATACCCTAGGACCTAATTGTGGGTATAATTCCTATTAGTATGCTGAAAAATTGGATGCCGCACGTGTGAAAGTGGCAGATCAGCGCGCCAATGAGAGCACTCGGGAGGCCAGAATGCTTCATAGGCAACAGCAAATACAAATTTTGGAAACTTGCACAATGACTGATGAACTATTATATGGCCCAGAAATAGATGACTCGGTTTAAGTAATTCAATAATTCGAATTTCTGTACGTAAATCCAATGTGAAACTTTAAACGCGTTTTTCTCAAAACTATGTTTTTTGAACCGGTGACCACTGTAGCTTTTAGAATACATAATAAACTCGGGCCTGATCAAAGGATTTTTATTTTTTTCAAAAATTTCAATATTTTAGGACCAATTAACTGTTGATTTTTTACCCAAAAATCTAGATTTTTTTCCTGATGCTGCCATTTTGTTACTTTTTGCAAAAAAAAGAAAACCTTCAATCAGGCCCAGGATTATCTATTTATAAAACTATTTTTTTATTTGATTGATTTTAGATGAATCTCTAAGGAGTTATGATGGTCACTGCCAGGACCGTTTTTTGAAACAGGGTCAACAAAAATAGCTATAACTTTGGGAATATTTATTATTCTTTTCTAAAATTTTTGTTACTTCAAGTCAAAACATTGTATAATAATGCCGTATTAATATTTTTGTAAAAAAACATCGTTTAATAACAAAATTTTTTTTTGAAAATTCTCATTTTTTCGTGCCTCCAAGTACCCCTAATCCCTTAAAGAAGCAAAACAATATTACAAAGTTCTTCAAATCATTGCCTTAGCTTCAACAAAATTAATCAAAATGTACAAAAACTATAATTAAAAATGATATTTGTTTTAAGTATAAAAGACCTCATATTAAAATTAGTTATCTAACATTAATATAAAACTTTTATAAATTGACTTATTTTAATATGGGATCTGTTATACATAAAATATTGCATATTAAATAATAGTTTTCAACAATATTTATTTTTCTTTATTGTGTTGCCTTGGAACATATCCCCTACAATTCCATATAAAATGCCATCCTGCCATTTGCAAATTCTTTTTTCACGGAATTTTCACGGAACGTATTCCCCGCGAATAAGAAACTTCTACTGTATATAATTACTTTAAAAAGAGTATTGTTCCTTACTAACTTTTATACTTGTTTATCTATCTATGCTTACTGAAACAACACAAAAGATTTAAAAAAATATTATTGTTAGTAAGTAAGGCTATATCATGCTACTGTGTTCAGCAACAAGAATCAATTATATGAACTATTTAAAAAATTCATGAACAACTCATTGTATGAACTAGAGATGGGTAAATCATTCCGATATAACTCCTTCCTCGGAGTAAATCTGAGCGGAGTTGTATCGAAGATTTTGTCATGACTTCCCTAAACTGGTACTAAATCTGTTAACATGTATAGACATTTGCTTCAGTTTTTTTTTTTACTAATATAAAGATTTGCGTCGAAAGAAGAAGCTACTTTGTGGTCTCACAGAAAATGTTATGTCTTTCTAGAAATAAAGTGTTCCAAAATAATGCAATTTTGTATTCTGCATTCTGTATATGATAATCCTTGTACGTAAATGACCTCCTTCAAACCAGCAGAGAAAAATTTAGTGTTATACTATTACTTTTGCACTATTACGATTTTATAATAGTGTAAAAGTAATAGTATGCTGATTGAACTACCTGACATATGTACCTACAACTAATTTTCGAAAAGAAAATAATCGGAGAATGTGAAGTATTATTTTGTTAAAAATATTATACATGTATTAATAAAAATTTGTTCTTATTTCATACATGAAATTTATAGCATTATTTTCGAATAAATATAAAAATATTCAATCAATTCCGTTTTTTTGTCATCACTACAAAAAATATAAGCCATTGATTCGATCGTTCGACATATTTTTACAATGCAACAATTAATGGTAAATTTTATTTAATTTACTTTATTGAGATTTATTTATTCATAAATTATCTGGTTGCCTAGTTGCCAAGTTGACCCTTTGAAGCAAAAGAATTACCCTGATATTTCAACATTTTTATTGCCTCAATTTCGGCATATATAGTTTGAGATTTGTATGAATATTGAAATGCATAAAATAGTAATTTTTCAAACACTTCGTAAATCCTTAGATTTATGAACTACACACTATAAAACACAAGTGTGTCGAGTATTAGGTTTCAAATTTGTTGAAGTCATGGAGTTGTTAAGCGGATATGACTCCTCTCTGAAGCGCAGTCATATATCTTAACCGATCAGATATGATAAGCAAATCTCTAGTATGAACAAAACTGCTAGAGAGCTCTTTTTTTTTTCTCTGGTAATTTAAATTAAAAATTACCCAAAATATATTCAAATTCATAAAAAACGTCTGGTTAAAATAAGGCAAATGAAAAGTACTTGATCTAACATTTGATTTGATAATGCATATGAAACAGACCCAGAAAGTTTTTCGTCAATATGAATTATTAATGTTGATAATGAACATACTTTAAAAAAAAAAACAGGTATTTAAAGCAATAAACTAAATTAGGCTTAACAGTAAACCAAAATACCTTTATGTAGACATTTCCAACTAAATGATCACCTAAATTATCACAAACATTCATTTCCTCGATTTCTCCATACTTGTCCTCACACTCAACAAACACATCTTCAAAGAAGTTGTCATAATGCTCTTGCATCTCTTCGTCAGAAACATTGGCTACCACTAAAATAATAGGATAACAAACATAAAAATAAGATTACAAAAATAAGAAAATATATACAGTGGTACCCCAACATAACAACATAATTGGTTCCATACCCATGCTCGCATGGCAAATCACTTGTATCTCAAAACAAGTTTTCCCAAATACATTCCCATTAATTTGTCCCAGCTCTATTGTTTTTGTTAAGTTTTTCAATAATAAACATAAATTTTCAAGATAAAACAATTATTTATGAAGCTGAAATTCAAATTCTGCAAAAATATAAATTAATATATGAAAAATGAAATAAATCATCGTTGTTTAAAAAAAAAAACTATCCAAAGCGCATTATTTTTTCACCATTCATGATATTGCAAAATGAAATTAGACATGTTTTATTGAACTACTTCAACGCTGAAACTTTTGCAACTTTTTTGAGGTGATTTTTATCCATTAACTTTTTACCAATCAGAGCAGTTTCTAAATTATTTCAAGGTCCTTTGGCTGGAGTTATACATTTTATCAACTCTTTCTGTTGACAACAGTACATATTTACAATGTGTTACACTCGTACATCATTGCCATCCTCATATTTTTCAAGTTTTATTTCAAAAAACATAGTCATTAACTATTATAAAACAGCTAAAATATTTCTATGATAGGCAAATCGCTGTTACAACTGACTTGAATTTCATATTTTCGTTTCGCCATTAACGCATTTTCTAAAAAAAACTTCTATTTTACTCGCTCAAAGCTCATATCTCAAATATTGCTCGTACGACAAAGAAACGAATCGCACGTTTGGCGGCCCGTATCTCGAAACACTCGTACGTCAGGTCACTCGAAAGCCGGGGTACCACTGTATTAATAAATGTAATGAAATGTACATACAATGACTTCCATCGGCAGATTTGGCAGAATTTTGAGGATTCACATAGAGGTTCTGCAGCAAGCAAGTTTGAGAGAAGGTAGGCTTATTGTGGATTCTAGAGCATCGATCTCCATGTCTACAAGCTCCGATTTTAAAATAAAACGAGCAGTTTACTCTGAAAAACAAAAATAATATCAGAATACGTTATTGTATATGCCGCATCAAAATTTTCTTACTTGTCTTTCTCTGTTCCAAAAATCGAAGCCAAATACTCGGCCATTTGTCAGAGTTTTCAGGCACCAGCGGAATTAAATAAACCGAAGTAAATAATAACTTCACTAGCTCCGAAACGCTATATAAACACAGCAATAATTATCATTAAAACAAAGATGACAGGTTGCACCGCAGCCAGGAAGAGTAGAACAGTAGAACCGACTAGAAAAGTGTTACCAGACTACGACACTTTTACATTGTACAGGTGGCGCGAAAACCAAAACTGTTTCAAATGCATTGAACATAATAAGCATCATTTATCCATAGATAAAAGAAGAGTGCATTTATCTATGATAAGAATATGATAAGAATATGAGATATGAAGAAGAGATATGAAGAAGAATATGATAAGAATGTGTTTGAGCATAGATAAAAAAAATGCGTGTTTGAGACAGTTGTGAATCGTCACAAACTAAAGCAGCGTGATTGCTTTGAAAAAAGTTCAACATTTTCAAAATTCTCCAAAATCAAATTTAAAAAAATTCAAATCAAAGTTTTAAAAAAAATTAATCTTTTTTTAAAAAAAATAATTTTTGGTACGGAAAGTTATAGCAATTTGCCTCAAGGAAAAAATTTCTATTCCATGTAATTTTCTTTCCAAACTTTAAACGCATTTTTCTCGAAATAGTGTTTCCAAAGTCGGAGACCAACATAACTCCAAAACGACTGATCCCACTAGTCTCAAATTTTAGCACGAGCTTCTTAAATATATGGAATGGAAGATTTTTCTGATCCGATATATACTTTTATTTTTATAAACAATTTAAAGTCAAAATTTCGCAAAAAAACATTTTTTGTAAAGAAGCCACCATTTTGTCAAAAAATATTATTATGCACATTCCTTCGATTAATCACTAGATTTATCATTACTTTAATGAAATCTCTTTGGTTTTTTAATTTCAGATGATTTAGTACAGAGATAGAGTGGTCACCGCAAAACTTGTTTTTCAAGAGGTGCTTCCGGAAATTAGCTGTAACTGTTTTATTTTAAATAAATATTTTTGCTCGCAATTATTTTTAAAACTAATTAAAATATGCCTTTATATGCGTATAAATTTTTGTTTCAATAGATTGAATAGTTTTTACAGAAAAAAATCTCAAAAAATCGCTTTTTTTCGGCCTTCTAACCGTATATAACCCTTAAGGCACGATGGCATACACTACTAGTTTTCTCTTATGTTGAATTTTCCTTTGCTTTTCTTTTTCTAAACATACTAAAATTTTCCTCGCTTTGGAATCTATGCCAAAATCAGTATAGTTTGCTGTTTTATAACGACTGCCCTACCGTACCCTGGCAATCGTACGCAGTCTCCATCACTTTATTTTATAACTTTTACATATTGTCTTTCCCCAAAATGTAGTATGATTATAGAAATCTGTGAAATTTATATACTAAATCAGAATTTGAATAAGCTATTCAGTGCATATTGTTCAAGAGCAATGCATTTGAGAGCAATTTTTAAGGAAGATTATAAACAAATATTAAACTCCAACATACAGAAAATCATAATTTATCAACAATACTGACGTATCACAGTAGTAACTAAACATAAACATTTGATAGTATTTTTACATCTAAACTGAACATAATAAACTGAACTTAGTAAGCGCGGGTGTTGTTCCCAAACAATAGGCCCTGGAATAATTTTATTCATTTTTTTAAACTGAAATTTGAATTTGAAAATATTTTTACGATTTTTTTATAATGTTATTGTTACGGGTAATATTGCTGTTATCGTTCACAATTCGAGGACAAGAAATTATTTGGCCGCATTTTAAGAGATAAGCCCAAACGAAGTGCAGATTTCTTTTCGGGTAAATTTCATCGATTCGGACAACAACCTAAAAATCAACAAGGTATCCTATTTGTTCAGGAAGGAAGATCCAGAATCAAAAAGGACGTGTTAACGGAACTTATGGAAACTGGTGAAGATTTAGATGTTGGAGTCGATAAACAATTTGCAGATTTTGAAGATTTCAGCGAACATATCCACTATCAACCAAATATGGAAGAATTCATGAAGCCAGAAGATGCGCCTTCATCTCCGAGTAGAAAACGCGACTATTTACGGAGGTATAACAAAATGGTCGGTTTTGATATTGATAAATTAACTGATAAACAAATACTGTCCGTAATGGATCGTTTGACCGATGAAGAAAAGATGACATTAGAAACTGCGGTAAAATCAAATTACGAAGCAGATTATGAGGAAGTAAGAAGGAAACGAGAGGAATTCATAAAGGAGGATCAAGAAAAAGATTACTTTAAAAGCTGGTGCGATTCATGTCAATGTTGTTAATTATTTTTATTTTAATTTCTAAATCTGTTTATAACGATTATTTTTAATATAATTATATGATATTTATCATATATGCCTCTTTTATCTTTATAAAATCATGATTTTATAATTAGGTTATAAATAAACTGGCCTTTGTGAATATAATGCAGTTTTGCCACCAAGAGAAACTCGATCCATATACGTATGTTGGTTGTATACGTAAATATACATATTCTTGTCTATATTTGTTGGTTGTGTTGAATGTCATCTCCCATAAATATGTAAGTAAAAATGTTCTCCACAATATCTCGTTGCGCTGTGGCGCACTAGAACGTGGGCACACGAAGAAAACATGCTTTTGCTCCTTAATATCTTCTGAACAAAGCTGGATACCTTATTTATCTAGGAAATTTATCTAGGGCTGATACTCCGGTGAGTATATATAGTTTATATGTGTTCATTTATGTGAGCATAGAAGAATTTTATCTTGCGCCGACAGCTGTATTGATTTCAAAAAACAAAAAGTTGTTCAATAATAATAATTCATTAAAGTTTAGACTCCTTGCATATTCAAAGCGAGGCCGACTATTTGAACTATCACTATTGGAAATCTGTACAGTATTGAATAATCTGCAATAGATTCAATATTAGGTTTCAAGATTCTGCAGCAATTCGGTACTTATAAATAACTTAAATAATATATTGATTTCTTATTGATTTTACGTAAGGCAAACGCAATCGTATAGATTTTGATTGAACTCTATAAAAATTTAAAAAATAATACATAGCAAAATAAATAGTACAAACAAATGTTATTTATATTAGTTTTATAATACAATATTTTGCACAAAACCTAATTGTGATCTAATTCATAATTTTCATAATTTTTTATTTATAATAGTTATATCGTTGTTTGTACAATATTAATTTTACCATGAATAATTTATTTCTGGCAAACTATTGTAAATTCGTTTTTTAATATTTGGTTATTCAATACATTGCAAAATGCACTTTTAATTTATTAATAACGTCCACATACATAAATTAATAACTTAGATAGTTTAACTTGCAAATAAAATAAAATAAGATCAATCAAAGTTATGTCTAGATATGGTTTACAATATTCATAGTCGCTCAAATCAGAACTAGCATTCGGAGCCTGCCTTGCATCTGATTTCGTTTCGGATTCATGGCTGTCTGTAACAAAATAATATCAAATAATTTCAAAACTAGAAAAAATACAATAAGTTATCAGATTTAAATTTTGACTTTTGATACAAGATTAGGTTAATATATAACAAACGAAGGTTAACTCTTATTTTGATTGAAAAAAAAAACACACAAAAATAATGCATAAGCAAGGGTTATTTTGTGATGTGAGCATAGAAGAAAATTTTATCTTGCGCCGCCGACAGCTGTATTGATTTCAAAAACAAAAAGTTTTCAATAATTGTTCAATAATTCAATAATTCATTTAGACTCCTTGCATTTCAAAGCGAGGCCGACTATTTGAACTATCACTATTGGAAATCTGTACAGTATTGAATAATCTGCAATAGATTCAATATTAGGTTTCAAGATTCTGCAGCAATCGGTACTTATAAATAACTTAAATTAATATATTGATTTCTTATTGATTTTACGTAAGGCAAACGCAATTCGTATAGATTTTGATTGAACTCTATAAAATTTAAAATTAAAAAAAATAAATAGTACAAACAAATGTTATTTATATTAGTTTTATAATACAATATTTTGCACAAAACCTAATTTGTGATCTAATTCATAATTTTCATAATTTTTTTATTTATAATAGTTATATCGTTGTTTGTACAATATTTAATTTTACCATGAATAATTTATTTCTGGCAAACTATTGTAAATTCGTTTTTTAATATTTGGTTTATTCAATACATTGCAAACATGCACTTTTAATTTATTATGAATAACGTCCACAATACATAAATTAATAACTTAGATAGTTTAACTTGCAAATAAAATAAAATAAGATCAATCAAAGTTATGTCTAGATATGGTTTACAATTATTCATAGTCGCTCAAATCAGAACTAGCATTCGGAGCCTGCCTTGCATCTGATTTCGTTTTCGGATTCATGGCTGTCTGTAACAAAATAATATCAAATAATTTCAAAACTAGAAAAAATACAATAAGTTATCAGATTTAAATTTTGACTTTTGATACAAGATTAGGTTAATATATAACAAACGAAGGTTAACTCTTATTTTGATTGAAAAAAAACACACAAAAATAATGCATAAGCAAGGGTTATGCATTTGTATACCCTTAATGGCTTTCATAAATCATAAAACATTTTTCAAATGAGAATCTTTCTTCAAATTCCAACAAATTTTATTCCATTTTTATTATTCGAAAATAATTATTTATTCAGTCAACCCTTCGACAACGCGGTACTCTGGAAAGGCGGTTTCCATACTACGTCGAGCTGAAATTACAGCAGCGCTTACAGTTTTGTTCAACCATTAGTTCCTCCCGCGCAACTTATGAATAACTATAATAATTAGATATAGTTGAAAAAGGCTTAAATATAAGTTTTATTATCGACTATTGCATGTTTACTGCATATATGTATATATATATATATATATATATATATATATATGTACGTGTTTATATAAACGTGTCATTTTATATCCTAGCTGTATAGGGGAGGAAGTCCCGTAACGCCGGACGGCACAAAGCACCGTACACTCTATTTAACACGTATTATTTGAGCAAGTATAAATCTTTTCATTTCAAAATACAAGTGAAAGAAGCACACAGGTACAGGATCACGCGCCAAGCCTCGCCTATGACGCACACGGCCACGGCGAGAGCAACCCTTTCCTGTTTTAGGCGCAAAATCACGACGTCACCTAAATATCAATGGAAGTAATTCTAGTATATTAATGCATTTACATTTGAGTGGTATGCAAAGATAAAAGTTGTACTTGATTGTTATCCGTAAAATGGTAGAATATTATTAGATCTTCTAATCAATTTTTGTAGGTGCCACCAAATGAACGATAATGTCTGTCCCTTAGCACCGGACACTGAGTCGTCCGTTACTGCAGGACAGTAAACATATTGATATTTCTTGTGAGAATATACGTAATTTATTTCAATTATTTAATTTTGTTCTGCATGAGTGCTAACGGTCACTACATACTCCATTTTTCGTATTTCCTAGTCGAAGAATGAAAATCTTATGGTAAATGCACCAGCTGAGAGCATTGGGGTGGCCCAGACAATAGGGTGGTTTAGGGTGGAATAGTGACTTTTTTTGCAATATCTAAGAATATTCGTCAAAGACATGTGCAGACATTCCAGAGTGTGGAGATAGCTACATACGAGGTCTGTTCAAAAAGTACCCGGAATTTTCGTTTTTTCAAAAAAATATTTATTTATTCGTCTACATTAATGTGGTCCCCTTCAAAGTAGTCCCCCCCAGATATAATACACTTATGCCAGCGTTTTTTCCAATTTTCGAAGCACCCTTGATATTCACTTTTTGATATGTCCTTGAGCACTCTCAGCGATTTTCTTCAATCGAGGAAAACCGCCGTCCTTTCATGGGTCTCTTCAACTTTGGGAATAGGAAAAAGTCACACGGAGCCATATCTGGTGAATTTTTGCACTTTGCAACACTTTATTTCATTTTTTACGCAAAATTTAATACAAATTCTTTGACTTTTCAATTCTTCCATTGTAAAAATCGCCGAGCTCAGAAAAACACGTCGAACCTTAGCGACTACCACAGACAAAGTAAACAGTGAATATAGCTGAAAATTTCATCATACTTTAGGGGCATGTATACCAACACAATAAAAAAAAATTTTGACAATCAGACACTCCAGACCCGCGAAATTTAATTATTAGTAATTCCGGGTACTTTTTGAACACACCTCGTATATATATGATCAATGCAGGTTATTTTGAAATGTCCGGTACTAGGTGCCACTATTTGAAATCATATTTTTTGATACCAAAGTTTGATTGATAGTATAGTATTAATTATTTTCTAGCAAATATTGCGGTTTTGTTAATATAGTTTGATTTCTAACTTTGTTATCTAACATAAATCATAATTTAATAAACATTTCGTAAAATATGTTTTGATTTATTTATAAATAACCTTAGGTGTTTATAAATAAATAAACCGCCACTAGGGACTACGACATCGATTTTAGTAGTTTCAAGCTCTATTGCAGAGAGTTTTCGGTCGGATTAAATATATATTTTCCCAAATCAAAAAAAAATGTAAATAATCGCACACATAATTTTGTATTTACATATTTTCCTTGTATGCCTTTATACGACCTTGCGTGACCTTATAATTTTTTTTCAAATATATCATATTTTGTTTGCGAATTATATGCAATGAATTAATAATTATAAATATTTTTTACAATATTTAACTGTACGAATATAAAAAAATTAAAAAATTACTTATTTTATGTCGACGAACTGAAACGCGCTCAATGAGTGTAAAAATTGGTAGTCTGACGCCAATTTTTACGTTTATATCCGTACAGTTTATTATATTTATAATTATTAATTCATTGCATATAATTCGCAATTCACAATTATAATAACTAAGCTACCTTGGTTATGGTTCTATTCCAAAGTAGATGTTTGTGGTAGAATTGTGAAATATTAGGGCAAGTATGTTTTTTTTTATTGGACATTTTAAAAAAAAATTAAATGAAATGAATGTGTCCAAAAAATTAAAGAAACGTCTTCGGAGTGGCCAAACTTTACCACTTAAGGGTATGGAAAAAATATGTTAGTCGATTCTCAGACTGAATGTGATAATAAAATTTTATACAATAGTATGACGAAAGAATACCTTATTTTTAAAGTCAGTTCTTGCGCCCGCCGGTCTGATCATCATTCGCGATGCTTTCAAAGAGTAGCCGGGTCCATGGAACTCATACCAGTACATGCCTTGATTGCTAACATCTTCAGGAATTTGTCCCGATAAGTATAACCCATTCAGATTGCTAAAAATACAAATTCAATAAGACAATAAAGATATTATGGACTATTTTCGATGTCGAATGTTTGGTAAAGTTATCAAACCTTTGTTCACATGCGTGATACCACCATGCACCGTGATGTGCTTGTGCACAGCTACCTTCAGGCCAGTTGTCGTTATCCAGATCATGAGCCGAGAATTTATGACCAGCTTGATATGCTAACGAATCGCCTATATAAACATATAGAAGATTCAAAATTAACGTAAGTAAAATGATCATGAGCAAGAAATTAAATTTTAACATTGTTTATTCGAATTCATTTTTTGAGGATTTTGCTCAGATAAATGATATATATATATATATATATATATATATATATATATATATATATACAAAAAATCCTCTGGTAAAAAACAAAATAATTTACAAAACTACGCTGAACTGATTTAATTCTATATATAATGACCTGCGTCTCCATAGTAGGCACCAAGAACGTTTATGGGGTATGATTGAGCTTCTGGCCCGATCGAGAATGACTTGTAATATGCGTACGTCCATATTTCATCAAAATCTTGCAGATCTATTAGCAATTCATATAATCCATTGCTTGTTAGCTATATATTAAGCATAAATTTAATATAATAATTATTTTTAATTTGGGTAATGCATTTGACGATCAAATTTCTATTTTCTTTGTTCAAACTTTTGTCAGCTAAAAATATTCTTGTGTAGGCAGTTATAAGTACTCTTAGAATAGATTTTACTAATAATTGAAAAATATATTGAGTACAATATCATTTAATAGAAATGATACAGAGATTATTCGGTCTAAAGTTTGATTGGTTTGTAAAAATTTCCTTGTATAATTACTAAGTAAAATGTATTATTTCTAGCAATAATTGATCATATGGCATGACATTTCAGTTATCCATTTTAAAATATTTCTCACCAAACGTAGTTGCATATGAAATTGAGCACTGCCTACCGGAGAATATAAATCAGCATAAAATATGATTACATTATTATTATATGATTGGGATGACAAGAATTTTTTGGTTACTTAAATAAATAAACTAAAAATATTATGATATTTTATTTGCACGCAAAATATAAATTGAATATATTATTATTTCAACGAATAATACCAAATGTGCAGTTTCCAATCCCAACCAATGTTCACCAGCAACGTTCCCAAATCCATGAACATAATCTTGATAAGGTCTATAAAAATCGGTAGATCCATCGAATCTTGTTTGCAGCACCTGAAAATATTGTAACGTGTTGAATAATGTATATAAATAATGTATTGTTATCTAATTTTAAATAATAAATGATTTAAAAAAATCCCTATCAGTGCCCTAACAATTATAAATAATAATAAATTAAGTACATTTGAGTTCAATATTCAAATGCATTGGAATTTATATATTTTTTTAGTTAGTAGTAGTTAGTAAAGTATCTATGTTCAATTTATAAATACACACCCAAACGTATCGTTTTAATTCGTTTTCTAATTTTCAAAAGAAATTATGAATAAAATCTTGTTCGAACGGCGAAAAATCTTACAATTCGATATTTGTTGGTCATTTTATCTTAAATTTCCTGCAACGGCATGACTGCCTAGTGGGTGAAAACATTAAAAGATTCTGAGGCCAATTTTCCGATAAAATAGAAATGTTAAGGAAACGATAAATATGTTACGATCAGGAGCTATTTATTCGGAAAACTATTTATTCTCTATGCGATCAGGAGCTTCACACATAAATTAACGTACAAAACGCATGAACGTCCAATAACAATTTTATCATAAGTGCATTTTTCTAATGTTTTATTGATAACACATACGTGAAGTTAGCTTTTATGTGTGAAATGCCTGATTAGCAATAGCCATACAGCAAATATATAGCTTAAGAAAATAGGACAGTAACATTTGTTGCCATAACATTTCTATTTTATCGGAGAATTGGCCACTCTGTTTCTCTCACCGTCCAACCGCCGCCCCATCGTTCTTGATCACAATAAGCAAATAACGGCCTATCGGCTCCCACAGGCCGAATGCGGTATGGGCCAGATATGTTGGCAGCTCCAGATTTATAAGCTTCCCAGCAATCAACAGGTATATTATCAGTATTTCCATCTATCGAAGGCCGATTGTTACCTGCCAATAATGGAATATTCTCATGCTATTATTTATGTAACGCAAGTTATTAAATTACTAAATAAGTGCAATATATTGTTCAGATTTAAATGTATTATTTTATAGGCCAATACCTGAATCTCTATAAGTCGCTTTCATAGCCATATCATAATGTCTCAGAGATTGCTTGAGATTCTGCATAGCGGAATTGAAATATTGCTTCGTTATATAATTTTGTGAATCACGAGTCATGTCTCTACAATGTATATATATATATATATATATATATATATATATATATATATATATATATGTGATATTATTAAAAATATGTTAATTTGGTTAAATCATCAGCTAAACATCTGCAAAAATATCTATTTGTGCATTCGCTTACGTAGTTTGTCCAGCAATTTTGGATACATTTGCTCTGATTTTATATAATTCTGTTTTGGTAGCAAGTGCTTCCTTTCTCAATGTAGCCACTTCCGCACGAAGCGATTGAAGATCATTTACAATATCCTGATTAATTTGTCCCACTTCTGTAAAATAATTTAATTTAAGATAAAAATATATTAAATATATTTATTATCGTTCCTACATCCACGTAAATCGAATGAAAAATTAAACATTTGAAATAGCAACTTAAACTATATAAATGCAAACTTTGTGTAAATAAACAATGTTGAAGACTCAAATTTATATTCAAATACGATTGAATAATCCTTGAAATCACTCAATTTACTCTTAAATTTCTATAGGCAACATCCGCGTGACGACCTGTGTGTACGTGTGTCGCCTATTGAAAACATCTAGTATGTCGACATTTGTTCAAATCAATGTTATATTATTGTTTTATTCTTTAGAAGCAATTTTTTTTATTTTTAAATATATTTTTATTGATAATGATGAAAAAAAAAACTAAAAATATACTTGAGCGGCCTGCTGGCTCGTACAGCAATGTCGCTCTTGCAAAAAGCCGTCTCGTAGCAAGTGCTGCAATACAACAACTAAAATAAATAAAATACCTCCAACAGTTGGATTTTGTGGCCTTATTTCAGCAATTTGTCTAAGAAATGACAAATCCGTTCTGAGAGCATCCAGGGCGGAATCGGTACGCGAACTTTGCCATTCTTGCTGTTGCCATCTGCGAGCAATATCTCTCAATTCGCTTCTAACTGATTCTAATTTATCTGTTGATTGTACCTCAAGTTTTGTCAGCCTGAAAATAAAATATAAAATAAATAAGTAAACTAATACTAATATTAAGAGGCATTTTGCTTTAAGACAAGTCGAATAAACTATCCGATAAATAATTGAGTTGATCAATGAAAATTGAGAATTTGATATAATTTTTAACATAAAACAATCAATTTGTAAGTCCTAAAAGTTCAACCCAGTACTTCGAACTTTAATGAATTTTTGACATTCAACCACTTCGTAGGACTATAATATTTTAGAATACTTATTTAGACATGAACACTATCGCCATGGTAAATTTCACCAATTTTATTTATAAAAATTCAATTACAAAGAAAGTGGTCGGTCAATAATAGTCAAAAACTAATCAGCACTTTTCCCAAATAATATTTTTCCAACGGTTTTCATATTTTCAAAATCGGTTCAGTATTTTTTGCAAAAATGTGAACAGAAAAAATACCTCCAACAGTTAGATTCTGTGGCCTTATTTCAGCAAATTGTCTAAGAAATGACAAGTTTAGAGTCCCTTTAGAGTTTTATCGAATTGATTTAAAATTTTTAGAATTGGTTTATTAGATTAATTATTACCAAAATCCAATCAGTACGATTCACAATATATATATATATATATATATATATATATATATATATATATATATTTTACAAACATTTTTGAATTTCTAAAACCAGTTCAGGATTTTTCAATAAAATGTGAACAAAAATTTTGGCCGATTGTCTAACAATATCAAAAGCCCGTATAAGAGCTGTTTCATCATGTTTCATGAATGGCTTTTAAATTTTTGAACACGGTTCAGAATAATATAAAAAAGTTAATTTAATTAATATATAGGAATTTAGGTATTTCGGGAAACAAATTCATTGCAACAATAATAATAATAATATATTTATGTACAATAAGTTATGTTAAACGTCTTATTTCCGTTTTCTTATTTCGAAGACATTTATAATTCCTTGTTATTAAATTAATAATGTTAAAATTGGGTAACTATAATTGATATTAAAGAGTGTATTTCTATATAAACTTCAAACAATCAATTTCTGATGATCAAACATGTTTTAATTATTTACCAAACCAGTCTTGAGATAAAAGCAATTCCTAAGCTAATAAGTGAAAAAAATTATAATGAAATCAATGAACACATATTATCGAAAGCAATACCGAATAAAAATCTTGTTCCATCACTACTCTATAACAAGTTTCCAGCACGTTTCGGAAACTTACCAAAAACCCAGAATATTATTCTGTCAGTCGATAATCACATTCGGATAGTTTAAGATCGCAAATTTATTGAATGTTAATTAAATTAAAATTTAACATATTTTTTATGAGATTGTATTACAAATACAATTTTTAAAACATTAAAATTAGAGCAGTATACACAAAACAATCCTTGACCTTTTTGCTCTCGAAAAAGTCAAATCGCGAGAACATATTATCAATCGTATCTTGAGATGGTTTATGTGCTAATTACTTGTGTGATAAAAGTTAAGTGTTCGATTTAAATTAATATAAAATATAGTTTTATGGAAAAAACTCGGAATTCTTTGTAAGAGTGCCTTAAAAATTTTGTATTTGTAAAACTAATATAAATTAAAAGTATAACTTGTGACATTAATTTGTCACAATTATAAGGTTAAAATTAATATTATTAAAATATTTACATCTAAAAAGTATTATGAAATATAAATTGTGATTTAACGCTAGAATGCAACGGCTTCTTAAATTATTAAATATTATGCTTTCAAAATTAATAAAATAAATTACAAATGTGTTTTAGGAAATAAACATTTAAATAATTAAAAATAAAAATAACATTAGTCTCATTCCTCAATCAGTGACATTGTAATTAAGTTTGTGACGTTCTAGTGCCAGTGGTGTCCAACTCTTGTTTTACCTTTAAATTGGAATAACTTCCCATTGCAACAGGTTAAGTGAGGATTAAAGAAATTTTATTACATAATAAATAGAAATAACTTTATAGTTGACTAAAATAGATGCGGATGTGGAAATCGAAAAAGTAATTTAAAAACATGTTCTAAAATTTTCAGGTTTTGTTTTAGTTGATAAACTCCTGAACTAAAAGCCAAATTTCTTCCAAATAATTGATTTATTCAAATTTTTCACTATTTTTAATAAATGTTTCAAGATATGTGATGTCCTTCTCTCAGAAACTGTTGGTAATAAATGGGCAAATTGCTGCAACTTTTCGTACCGTAACGAAATGTTCGAGGAATAATGTTTTGAAATAGATTATTATAAATATTATAACATTGTCTACTATAATAATTTTATAAACTGAATTGCAAAGTTAAAATTATTTATTTTAAGTATATAAGTGAGCTTTAAAACTTTAGCCAGAATTAAAATTAAAATCTGAATTATTTTCGATATTCAAACATTTAAAAAAAAAATCCGAAACAATCAATCTCCCAATCATTACAAATTGAATGTTTTTTTGGATCATTCAAATAGAATACTCCGTTCTATCAAAACCTCGATTTCTATTTTCTGTACTCTTTGCTCCGTATCTCCGTAACGGCTGGACCTGCCTTTACCAAACACTGACCAACACATCTCCCTATCAATAGGAATCGAATGCTTTTTAAACCATTCAAATCGGTTGATCCGTGCGTTCGAAAACGTGAACGAAAAAATGCGGACACACAAAACACACACACGCACACATCCATATTTTCTGAGGTATGCCAAAATGTTCAGAAACCTTCAAAACGTGAAGATATGCAAAAATTTTCATTTTGGGTTTTCGACCCATTACTATAACTACCCAACGGGAAGTTAATAATAAAAAGAATTTAAAGCTGCGTCTTGACTATCACTGTTTTAGTCACTTGTTAAACAGTCATAAGTTAATTCTATCAGATGTTGTACTTGAATAATTATGAAATAATAATAAGTATCGACAAAGCGCGTCTTCAAAACTAATTTATTCAATATAAACTATGAGGAAAACTTAAAATTGTTAATGTATTTTCTTTCATGTTCAATATTGTTCAGATATAATCAGACATAAAAAACTAAATGTGCTAATTGGTTTTTCTGGCTCCTAAGAAAGATTTATAGTTAGAGTTTTATATCAAAAATTGTGCAAGTGATTATAAAAAAGTTCAAATATGATGAAAAAACAGTTTTTGTTGTTTGTTGTGCTTTCCACATTGCAAATCATTAAATGCCAAAGTCCTTGCACGACATCAGAATCCAACGAAACGCAAGGTCTGAAAGCAACGTGTTCCGGTATAATGTCAATAGCAGAATTGGCTGGCTTAGGTAGGTAATTCAATACAATTTTATATGCAAAATGTTCAAGCTTATATAATTTCAGTTATAATTTCGAATATGTTAATATTGCATCTTGCATATTTATGAGATATATATTAATAAAAAGCCGTTTGATGTCTATAACGATAAAAATAAATTATTTGTGTTTAATGATCATTCAATATTTATTTAATTTTTTTAATTCAATATTCAATATTTTTCAAGATTTTGGTAATGGATTTGATTGTGATTTAGAGTAAAACATAATTTTCTCTATACATTTCCATTATATCATAAGCCATATGTAATGCTCTGAGTTTAATATGTTTAACCAGTTAATTGTGGTTCACGAGTATGCTCGTCAAGAAAAAGTGGCAGAATTTTGTGTGTTGACAAGTATATTCGTCATGAGTAGTGAATCAGTAACCATTGGCTATGGAAATTGCGATTTTTAAGAAAAACAAAACATGTTCTTAAACTTCAAGATGTTTTGAAGAATACCATGCGAGTATAAAACAAATAGTTGTAAATGAAATTTCACCTTAAGGAAAGTTGCATGAACTTCCTGATCTGTGTAATCAATCTACAATCAATAAGAATTGAAATTCAGCTATTCAGATAAGAGTTTTAACACATTTTTTGGAAAATTAGATAATTTGTGCTTTTCGCCACAAACAAATCAATGCAATTTTGCAATTGACATCTTTTAAACAAACTTGTGCATGGTGCATTATAATTGTATTAACTTCCCGAAGAGGTTCATGTTTTTTGCCAGAAAATCTAATTTGCTAATTTCATGTTTTCTCAACGTTTCAAGTCATTCAGAATTATTCAAATCAGTCTAAATAAACAGACAGATAATTTTTTTACTGAAATATATCAATTCTGATTGATATATTTACATTTATCAGGAAATCGATTATTTACATTTATCAGGAAATTTATGCTAGTTGCCTTAAAGCAAAATGCCACTTACAATTAGTTTAATTTAATTTATTTAACACATTTTATTCGAATTTGTGTTCTAAAAATATATTTTATTTAAAGGTGGACGTCATTACTTTTCGTAGGCTTTATATTTTAGATGTTTGTATCACTTCACAACAAGAATTTAAATTATTACTTTTAATTCTCTAATATTTCATTGAATTTAATCCGTTTTACGTATGTTTAACAAAGAAGTCAAATGTAGAATATTTTTTTTTTATTTTGTAAAACAAGCCTATCTTTTTGATCCGTTGTCGATTTTGATTATAACGACTCGAAAGATTTTTTGTGTATAAAATTTATTTGGTATTGATATTTATTGAAACAATATTGAAATATTAATTACTAAGTTAGTTTCTAGTAAGTAGTGTAATACCTACAGCTTAAATTAATTATTTTGTTCATAAACTAATGACGGAAGCCAGGAAAATTATTCTCTTCTGCTAAATTCTCACCAAATAATCACCAAATTCAAGTGTGATTTTTATTTTCTTAAAATGAAATCTTAGTAAAATTACCATAACCTTTACTAATTGAATTTTTACAACATTGTAACTATAAATTTGGGATTATAAAATTTTGCTCCAAAATACATCAAAACTTTAAATCAATTAGATTTAAAAAAAGGACATGTATCTGATAGCCAGTAAAACTTCAACGATAAAGTTCAGTTTGGATACTCCGAAAAAGGAAATGAAATGTGTTTTAAATGCCAATGTACGTATTGATAAATTATGGAAAAATCTTTCGACATTGATAACAACATTTGCATAATACAAGTATTAAAAGCAATGGTACATTCATATTGTCCAATGGTGTATATTGCATTTTAGTTTCATACTAATATAGAACAAGGGCGTCAGTTAAACACCATATGACAAATAATATATTCGTATGTAACACATACTGTACGTATAATATTCTAAAAATAATTGGGAACTAGTTCGTTGATTGACATTTAATGGTGTTATTCGATATTTAAAGATGACAAGTCAAAACATGGAAGCAATAATGATGCTTTTATTGCATGGCAGATGTAATTATTGACGTAATTTTAAAATAATTTAATTTGAAACTTGTTGCCACAGTAATTAAAAATAGTGCGTAGTACTGCCCTAAGGCAGGTCTGTGAGCTGAGTTAAACTACAACTCAATTCAGGGAAAAGTGTGAGAGTTTTTCTCATTTACCATAGTATTTTACTTTAAATTATTTATTGAAAAAATACATTAATTTACCCTAATTAAAATGAATAAGTTGTAGATCAAAAACTTTTATACAAAATTATATGTTACATTGACGTAAGAACGTGTAATTATATGATTTGATTTGCACATTTGTACGAAGTTTAATGAGTTATTCTCATTAATGCATGCTCTGCCTATTTTAATTTGAATATTATTAATTTAAATTATACAAATCAATTAATTTCTGCAATTTATTGTCCCTTTATAAAAACTTAGTTCTATGCCGAAGATATATTAGCAGTTAATAATTAGTTATGTAATGAAGATTACTTATGCATTCATTAATCATATTTTAATTTACATATCATTGAAGAGTTAATTAAATATCATTTTCCTTTTGGATTCCCTGTTATTAAGAATAATCTAGAATATTAATACATATACAATAAAAATGACTCACAATGAGTGAGTAACAATTTACTAAGGTAATAAAATATTAATTTAGAAATAATTTTATATGAACCTTGAATAGGATCATGGCAACATTTGAAACTTCAAAATTCGGACCTATTACAAATTCGAGTTGGAGATTTTAGTCGAAGCAGACTTCTGCAAGTTTTAGATTTGTCCGGAAATCAAATCAATCATATTCCCGATATGGCTTTATCAACACTACGTGAACTACAAGTTTTGCTATTGAATGATATGAGGTATTGTATACATAAAAGTAATTTAAAAGTTACTTTATTCAAATTATAATGATTGATTCAAATTATATGCTCAAAAAGTGTTCTGCCAAGTCACATTGCGATTCTATTTTTATAGAGGCCATTTGAACCATTTTAGAAACTTTGCCGAAGGAATAATAGCTTCTGTTCATTATCAGTACCTCATAATAAAATAAATATAATCTCATCTAATCATATAATGAGGTTATATAATTTGTGCATATATAAATTTATTAAAAAATCAAGTTTACTGGGGAGCACTGGGGAGTTTGGTGAAACTTTGCATGGTTTGTTGAGTATGCGCCAAAAAAGCTAGAGTATAAGCAAAGGCCAAAAAAAAAGCTTTGTGAAGAGTGGTTCAATTATAAAAATTAATTAAAATTCAGAAAAAAAAAGGCTGAGCGCTCTACATTTTCTATCAATACGTAGAATGGTTCTAGAGTTAAGACGATTCCTAGCTTTTACGCTCATTTTTGCATGCTCAAACCTCACCAACATATTTAATTCAAACCACTTCTCATGAATCTGTAATATTTATAGAAGCTTGATTTTAACTGATAACTATACAATCATGCAAAGTTTCATCAAATTGACAAACGTGTTAACCCGATTTAGTTGTAAGTTGATATCGAGAGAAAACTTAGATTCAAATTTCGCTGGTTCAAAATTCATTTCCAAGCTATGGTTTCTTTGGCAAATATTATTTAAATGACCCATAGAACGAGAATCGCAATGTGCTCCAACGGCCAAAAAATTGATTCACCCTAATATATATATATATATATATATTTATTTTCATTCATTTTCAGATTAACTTTACCACCAGCAGCCGTCTTGAATGCGTTGAGAATATTAAAATTAGCAAGAAACGATATAGTGGCAATAGAAGATAACAACTTCTCTCAAATGCAAAACCTTCGTCTTTTGGATTTGTCTGGAAATCGAATACAAGAACTGCGTTCAGAAACCTTTGCTGGCTTATCTTTGTTAACACATTTGTATCTAGGCAACAACCAAATTGGACGAGTGACACCACTCACATTTCGTTACATGCAAAACCTAGAAACATTAGATTTATCTGGAAATATGTTAAGCATTGTCAGCACTGGTGCGTTCATTTACTCAAGTCGCGTATTACAGCATCTAAATATAAGTCATAACTATTTGTCAGTTCTGCAATCAAATTCCTTCTCCACTTTAAGCAACCTTCAAACTCTGGACCTTTCCTATAATAGACTCAATTTGTTGCCATCAGATTCTCTAAATGGGTTAAACAATTTGAGGACTTTGGACATTTCCAATAATTACATCCAATTTATTCCTTCACAACTTTTAGACTCAGCTCAGTACATAGAAGATTTGAGATTCGCTTACAATCGCCTTACTTATTGGCCCTTGAATTCAAGAAACTACTGGCTTTATTTGAAGTCGGTTACCATGGAAGGAAATCCTTGGCAATGTCATTGCCTGCATCAGATCATGGTGTTCTTATATAGTAAGAAAGTTGATTTTAAAAGAGAACAATACTTCACGGGACAGAAGCCTGTATGCGTGATAACTGATGTCAATTATTGTGTTAGAGATATGAGAGTATTGTCAAAGACTGAAATTGTACCTGTTTATGAAGAGAAGCATCCAAGAACGTAGAAAAGACCACACATAAATTCAGTTAAAAATTTCCAAGTTATCTATTTAAAACCGCACTTTTATAAATATTGATATTGTAACGACAATCGGTATTGTCGTCAAAAGGGTTGCATAACCACCAGTGCAATGACGCTCCCCCACCACGCCCAATAGGGATGCCAATATAAGGTCCAGTCTGGGATTGAAAAATGGCATTAAGAATTGTATCATCCTCTGAGGAGGTCAGTGGGTCCACGCGCCAGGCGCTGGACCCGCTTTGTGTATAGTGGTGTGTGTGTTGTGCCAGGAGAGGAGAACCCGTTCCAGTAAAGGTCAGATGTATTATTGGTTTTATAAACTATTCCCTCCGTTCCGTTCCGTTATCGTTACTCCGTTGATACCGTTTTATGTTAGTAATTAATAAAGATTTGTGAGTACGTTAGGTTTTAGGCAAAGGGCATGATAGTACGTAGGTATTGTCATGCCGTTACACCTATAATGATTAGTAATGATTAAATAAGCTAAAAGTACATTCTGTTTCATTCGCGTAGTTAGTTGGCTTTTCCACAGGTAATTACAGGGTGTTTAAAGAAGTCGGGTTAAGGAGTTGGTGTAACCCTTTCGTTGGGGATGCAACGCTAGATGTAATAATGGAAGTCGTTGCATATCCCCTAAGAAAGGGGGGCGTCAACATTTCAATCCGTCACAATGGTGAAAACGCATTCGATCCCCCATAAACCCCCCTCACAAATTTTTAATAATTGTAATAATTAATTATTTTTATTAAAAGCTAAGCGAGTCGCTCCCACTAGTTACGTGTACAAGTTACGTTAATTTTCATGATAGATGTTTTTTTGTTATAGTACGTTGTTCGGTAAATTTAGTAAATTTTTAAAATTTGAATATTGCGTAAATAACGTGGTAATTATAATTGTTTTTTCTATGTGTATCACTACTTGCGTTTATCTGTGTATTTTCATTTTTTTATTGTGTACCTTTCGCGGAGACGTGGTAGTTTTAATTTTAATAGAATTTTACTACGTTGAAAATATAAGTGATTTTTTTTTTTTAATATGTTTTGGATGTGGAATTTTAATAAATGTAATAATCTAGTTTAATTTTATTAAACCAAATATGTTGTTTTGATTGCCATTTGCGTCGATGTTAAAATTTGTTACCTAATATTTGTTAAGATTAATCCTAAAAAGTAAATAAAATTTTCGAATTTAAAGTTATTTAACTTATTTAAAATTATTAAACTCATTATGTTTATAACATTACAAAAAATGTTCAAAGTATTATTTTTATTTGTAAAATCAGATTTCATTTGATTGTTGTGTGCGCTCATTCTATTTTTTTTCTTCTTTCTTTTTTTTCTGGATATAATATTACAAAAAATGCAATTAATTTTATTTTAAAAGGGGATTCATTTACTTGTTGTGTTTTGGTCCATTTTGTTTCCCCTGGGTATAGAAGAAACTCGGTCAAAAAAAAACATTCATATCAATTTCAATTTCTGTAAAGCCACTTATAAATCGTCATATTCAAGTATTTTGTTTTGATAGGCTAGTTCGAAAGATTTGAAACACATTGCCCCTCAAAATATACTTCGTTTTCTTCGTAAATCTCAAGTTCCGTACACTTGACCCTATGCCACACACAAAACGTTTTTTTTTTCTGTCTTCGAAAACAGTTAATAGGCAAATATTTTGTTTCACTAATCTCTAGTATGTTGTCGTTGACATATTTATTCAAAGACTGTAAATATATTGGCCTGTGCCCTTTTTTTTCCGCTAGTGGCACTCAAAAATTTTGACCTGTGAAGAAATTACGGTCGCTAGAAATTCGATTCGCTAGGCGCCAGTCGACGGTCAAGCGAAACAGCCCTCTAAGTGCGTTTTTTTTTACACAATGCCTGGCGCCAAGAGATACTAGTAACATTTCATACGCAAAAACTTTCACTTTTTGTAGATTTTTTTTTTTTCATACTAAATAATATTTTTATAATTAAGTAGTACAGATAACCGCAAATAGTATTGAGTTGTTTTTATTATTATTATTTTATTTTTTTTTTTTTTGTCGTTTTGTTTGTATTTCGTTAATCTCGTTCGCGAAGTTTGACGAGCCCTGTAATTACATAATTTTTTCGAGATGATCTGCGAATGAGACAGAACTACTTAGATTAGAACATGATAGGTATAGAGTAGTCAGAAAAATACATAATTGATTATGCCAGTAAGATTGATATTTTTTATTATTTTTTTAGTTTGTAAGTTAGGAAGATTTTCATATTTTTAGTTAAGATTTTATTAGGTATAGGATTACTTAAAATATTACATAATTTATTAGGCTAGTAAAGATTGATTTTTTTTCTCTTGTTATTTGTACTTTCTTAATAAGTTAGTAACATTTTAGTTAGGATTTTGATAGGTTTAGGATAATTAGGATTAGTTCGTTTTATATAATTTAAATATGGGTTTTATAATGCAACATTGGCATAAGTTTTGTTTTTTTTTTATCATTGAAAGTGAAATTAATTGAGTTTTGTATCGTCGAGAATTAACCAAAGAGTTAGCAAATATTTTTAAAAATGGAGTATGTTTGTTTTTATTGTTGTTCACGGAGGGAATAGTAGTTAGCATGTCTATGATTTGAAAATGAAGTGAATTTTCGAGGAAACGCGCGGTAACAAGAGGCGCAAAGGCCGCGTATGTGGATAAAAATTGCGTAGAGAACGCAAAGAGTTTAAAAAAAAATTGTAATAGCAGGCGGAAAGTGCCGAACCAAGATGTTAATGTTATTTTCGAGTTTATAGTAACTTTTTTTCTCTTAATCGTTACATCGTAGACATGCTAATTGTATCTGACCAGCTGGAGGGTTGTGTAACACATTTGTATTATGTAATTGGTTTGTAGTATTAGTATGTTTTTTATTTGTGTATTATTCGTTTTTTTTAATATTTTAACTTCGTGTATTTTTGTGTTTTTTCAGTAGGGTGATGCAATAATGAATTTAGTTTTATCGATTTTAATATTGTACTTTTCTATTTTTTTTCTCTTTCGTTTTTTTTTCTTACGCGTATTAATGGCGTTCTCATTCCCGCCGGAACGTCATTGCTTAGTGCTCAATTCGTGGCTTCATCTAATTGATCTTATTTATTAATTAATAATAGGATACGACTTTTCACCATAATTCATAATGGCAGCTAAGGCGATCAGTTCGACCGACGATTATGTGGCTTGGAAACCAAAGGCCTAGAAAACCTTGGTTAAATAGAGCGGGTGGGCAGGTGACATTTCCCTTCGAAAAGTCGTATTTCTACGAACACAGAGACAATTGCAAAGGTAGAACCCGGATTTGCAATATACGTATTTGTAGTTCGGCAATTAGATGAACGTTCATGTATTGTTCGGAATGATACGTGAACGGCTAAAGGCTTTTTTTCGCTCTCGTTTTTTTTTCGCTTTTTAAGAACTATATTCTTTTGTTGATCATACTAATTTCTTTTTTTTCATACTAAGTTTTATGTTGCATTTTACTAATTTTAATATTTTACTATTTCATAATAAATTAGTTTTATATCATACGCGTAATTTCGTTACTTTTACTGTTTTTATCCTACTCTTCATTATTGCATTATCCGCTTTGTTCGCCATTTAATATACTAGAATTTCGTTTTTTTTTAGATTTATATATTTGTCGTTGTGTTTTTTTTGCCGTGCGTCGCGAAAGGTTTGGTTTGGTTTACGGATAGAGTTTATGGCCTATGTTACAAGGCGTTGAAGGCAATGAGAGTATTGAGGGCAATTGTTAGTTGAAAAGTTAAATATGTTAGAGGTGCCCAAATCGTTGATGTATTATTAGATAATAGTTTTATATCTGTTAAGTAAGATAAGTTGATAAGTTTAAAATTGGATATAAACTATTATTTTCGTTGTATGTTTTTTTTTTTGTTCACTGATAATGTTACCGTAAATCAAATCAAACGAACGTTTGTAGTGTATTATCGCGTTAGTTTATACCGTCGGCGTTTTGTTTTAATTTGCGTGAAACCCTTTTATATGGACAAATTACGATTTTATTTTTTATTGAAAATACTTTACTTCTGCCTCGTCAATAGTTATTGGCTCGTGTTTTTGACCGCCCAATCCAGATTAAGGGATCCGATATGGCAAATAAAAATAATGAAGAAAGAAAGTATTAATCGAAAGAAACAGGAATGGATAATCTTAGATAGGGTGAAGTTGATATTTGGAATCAGGGTTAATTATACTTAAATGAATAGGTTTGTTTGTATAAACAAATATGTAAATCAAAGGATCGTGTCGTAGCCTTTACCATCTTTTTTTTTAATTATTTATTTTCATTTTTTTTCATTTTTTTTTCTTTTCTTTATTTTTTTTTATAAGAATAGCCCGTAGACAGCCCGGCTGCCGAGCGACGTAGCGCTAAGTCGTGGAGGGCCGAGGCATGCTATAGGGCACTCGCGGTAAACCAGTTAGACTCGACTCGCGAACGAGTACTACAAAATATCGCGAGGGCTCAACAAAAATGCCGAATTTGTCGTAGGCCAGTGGGTGTTAGGGAACACGGAAGTTGGTCTAAAGGGCCAATCAGACAATCTACAGCATACATGGCACGGGCCTTATAAAATAGTTGATAAACTATAAATCTGAATTATAAGATTGAGCGTAAAGTTAGAAACAGTTGCAAATACGACACGGTCCACGTTAGTGGAATAAAAGAAGAAAGAAAGGAAAAAATATTTCTTTCACTTTTCTCTTCGTTTTTTTTAATATAGATAAGAACTCATATATAGATGTACATATGTAAATAATTAAACATAATTATAGTAATAGGTTTAGTTTTAAGATTCCCCCCATTAGATAAGTCGTAAAATAAGAAGACATATAAGAAGTTATAGTGGGATTTTTGTTTGTGGAGAGTAGGTTGTTGCAACATAAATTGTATAAATATAAGTCTGCAGGCTTATATCGGGACGCCATATCGGATTTACGTTTTTGTTTTATGGTTATATATGTGAG